ATTACAGTGCATCGTCTGATTGTCATTCGGATGATGACGATAATCACAGCTTTGATTATGCCAATCAGAGCCGTCATGGTTGTTACAGTCAATCTAATGCCGCCTTTGAAGTTGCTCATGGCATTATTAGCCGTGCTGCCTGGAGTGTCAAGGATGTGTAGTTCAAGTAAAGCATGTCTGGGGACTGGAGACCTCTCAGAAGGATTTGTCAGTTAAATGCTTCAGAGGATGAATGTAATCCTTATTAGAAAATGTAGAAAACAGAATGAGAGGGTAGGAGAGAGCTGGGGAGTAACAAACTAAAAGTAGCGATGTAACCCAACTAGATTTTGTCAGAAGCGCGACTTCTTGTTAGTGGCTTGTAGTGCAGCTGACTTCTTGTGCTAAAGGCTAGCTTGACTGAAGTTCAGCTACTTGAAGTCATGAGTAGCTTGTAGCTTGGCTTTCAAAGTAGCTTCACCAACAGAGCGAGAAAAAAGGTGAGGGAGAGAGAGAGAGCGAAGGCGAGAAAGAGACAAAACAACACAAGAGAAGCGAGGGAGAAATGCAAGGTCTGCATGGCAGCAGGCGTCAAGGAATGAAAAGAAGATCACCACGGGGGCGCAGGCAGATGCTAGAGAGCGATGAAGAGAGGCAGGAGAAGATATCAAAGAGTAAACTTCACACAGGTCATATTTAAATCGGCTTTAAGTCCGTACATAAGAAACCGTGTGGAAAAAACGGCTGAAAGAAACAAGTAGCAATTCACTCGGCTGCTTGAGAGCAAGCCATTGAGGGTTTCTAGAAACTTCAAGAAGTGCTAGAGCACAAAATCTCGGTAAGGAAAGCTCAGATTCGCACTGACAGGTCAAACATAGCCTCAGTAGTCCAACACTTCACCTCTTCATGAATCTGATTTCAAGAGGACTGCACAAACTGAATTATTTAGTTTGTGTGTGTGGTTTAGTGATAGATCAATATATATCAGGTTTCCCAACCTGGGGTTCGTGAGTGAACTGCATGGGGTTTGTGAGTTGATAAAAACCTAATAATTAATTAAATCGTTAAAATGTAAAATTACAATAAATAAATCACTTTAACATAAAAACAAAAATAAAACACTTACTAAAAAAGTTATTTTATTAGTTTACCTGCATGTAATGCGACCATTAACCAACATCAGAGAACCATGAATACACGAATGTGTTCTTAAATTATTGAAATCTAAAATCTAAGGAGGTACTTCAAGTAAATATTTTAGATCAAATGGGATCGGCTGACAAAAAGTGTCGGAACCTCCCTGAACTAGGCCAATTAAACATCTAATACACAACCATTTTAAGAAAACTAGCATCCTCTGGTAACTGTACCCAACTGGCCAATTAACCAAAGTGTCTGAAAGCCTTGTGAATGGATATCAAACACTTCATTTAATTTCAGAAGTTTTGAGCATGTCTTATTTGCTGTTATTAAATTGTATAACATATCAAATACCATTTAAACATTTAAAAGTTTGGGGTTGGTACGATTTTTAATGTTTGGTTTTTTTTGGAAAGAAGTCTCTAATGCTTGTCAAGGCTGCATTTATTTGATCAAAATACGGTAAAAACAGCAATATTGTGAATTTATTTGTGAAAAATGTCATTTCATTCCTGTGATGGCAAAGCTGAATTTTTTAGTAGCCATTACTTTAGTGTCACATGATCCTTCAGAAAATGTTCTGCTGCTCAAGTAACATTTCTTATTATTATCAATGTTGAAAACAGTTGTATATAATATTTACTTAATATTTTTATGATAACCGAGATACATCTTTCAGGATTCTTTGATGAAGAACATTTATTTGAAATATAAACTCTGTAATCTTATAATATCTTTACTGTCACTTTTGATCAATTTAATGCATGCTTTTTTCTTTCTTTTTTTCTCAAAAAAATAAAAAATAAATCTTACTGAACCCAAAATTATTGAAAGGGGTTGTATGTGCATATAAAATCCATCTAATCTGAATTGTATTGGCATCTCTAAATATCAATATTTGCCACTGAGCAACTCATATTAACTGACCACTGATAAATAAACTCATCCAGTATTTAAAAATAGTGTTAAATCGTTTGAAACTGCTATAGATCAGTGCAGACAGTTGCATCTTTTTTTTTTAAACGATGTAAACTGGCCTAATTTGAATCTGAAATAGAAGGCTGATTACCCTTTAGCAAACTGCTAGCTGGCTAGATCTTAAGACACAGTTTCTGTGTTTATGCAACTGGCCTAGAACCCTTTTTTTATTAGACAGTCTTACAGTAATAACCGTAATAACAGAACACAGTTTTCAACCAGACAAGAAAGGTCATGTTATCCGGCTGGTGTCGCAGTGAAGTGACAAAGCTTACATTAGGAATAGCATCCTCCAGCAGCCACTTGGACCTCTTCCTCCGCTTCTCTGCAGGAACAGAGCTACTGCAACAGAGAAAAACGAGAAACATTCACTCGACATAACTGAGCATAATAACAACTGAACTAAATTAACTATCAATCAACGCATTGTCTCCACCCACTAAACATGTCAATACAGATCTGAGAGCTGAAATTACTCAATCCTAAAAAGGATTGTGGCTGTCAAATGTTTAATTATAGGGGAGAAGCCATGTGCAGGGGTTAAAGCAAAAAAAAAAATCCTGAGCCTGAAATTGTTTCCGGGGGTGGGGCGTTAATGTAATATGCCTATACATAATATGAACATAACCAACTTAAAGGCACAATATGTACGTTTTCGCCGCTAGAGGGCGCGTATTCAAAACAAACAAAGGCGTAGTTTGATTACGGCATGACTTGAGTGTGGAATCGTGGGAGTTGTCGTCTTCATCCCCACAGCCAACACAATCCGACGGGACTCGGGCAGAAATCATGTTCATGGATGTGCTAATGATTTATTAACGTAGTAAAATGAAGCAGGGTGAGGCTGAAAGCCGTCGAAGCGAAACGAGGCTGCTGAACGAGCGTGACACACGGCTCGAAAGCAGCGGAGCTTTTATTATGCCACAGTCGACCGCTTCCGCTCCTTC